GGCCGAGCAACGAGGACTCCAAGCCATCTTCACCGAGCAAGCAAGCCGTCGCAGACAACGCGACGAGCGAGATCGACGCGCACCTGCTAGCCAGTCTGCGCGTCGTGGCGCACAAGGCGAATCTGCAGCTGAGCGATCTACTGGATGCCGAGTCACAGGCGAGGTTCAGGCGCGAGGCGTCCGAGGAGCTCGAGGCGCTGGCGGGAGATGTGTCGGTGGACCTCATGGCGCTCGATCTGGCCGCATCGCCTTCATCCGACGCTTCCGTGCTGCGATCGCCGCTCATCGCCCACACGCCGCCGGCAGGACCGCCACAGCCGCAGCCCGACACTCTAACCCCTCCGTCGGAGTCCACGCCCGCACCCAACACGACACCGGGGATCGAAGATGAGGAGACGGACACGTCGCTTGCCTCGCCGTCGGTCCGAGCTGCAGCGCGTCTTCCTGTTGCCCACGCCGCCCATGCCGAGCCGGTACCTAGCACGCCCGTGCGGCCACGCATGCTTTCCGCCTCAATGGCCTCTACACCGCTTGCAACGCCAAGCAAGGCGTGTCCTCCATCGGCGTCCATGTCGGCACGCTCGCGCACGCGCCTCAAGAAAGCGCTGCGCGAGTCGCTTGGGCTGGAAGCCCACTATGCCGCGCTTCATCTCGCCGCGCCCTCGGCGGCGGCTGTGCTGCCCGACTGCAGCGCCTTGCACAAGGCCGAATGCAGGAACGACGGCGTTGCACTGCTCACCGACTCGGACCTGGACGACATTGTCAGCGCCGTGGCACGCATGGACCTGCACCACGCTCAAGCCGAGCTTGATGAAGCGCGCCCTGCCGTCGAGGTGGGGGAGATGGGCGAGGTGGCGGAATTGCGTGCGGCCCAGACCGCATTGTCGACACAGCTGGCACTGGCCGAGTCGCGCAAGTCGTCGCTAACGACGCAACTGGCCGAGCAGGCGATGGCAGCGACACGCATGCAGCGCGAGCACGAGCGGTTGCAAGCCGACCTTGCCGCTCTCCGCGCAAGGGCTGCAGGGATGGAGTGGGCGCAAGCCCAAACTGCCTGGTCGCGCGCCCGCGCCCAAGCGCTCACCGAGCTGCAAGACGCCAAGGTGGAAGCCGATACCATCATGCTGCTCCGCGCGCATCTCGGCATTTGCCACCTTCTCGCCACATAGTCCAGTCTGATCGATAGCCGAGGTGGGCAGATTTTGAAATGAAGACGTTGCAACAGCGAGCAACGGCATTGGGGGCACCCCCCACCGCAATGCTGCGCGCGGGCGTGTGTGAAGGTGAGATGAAGTGTGTCTAGGCGTGCACTTCCGACGGACGTTTCATCAACCCACATGGCTATCCCTCCTGGCTTCGCAAGCACGACTTGTTGCAGTATAAAGCCCAATCGTTCGGCGTCCACTTTTCGCTCCTCTGCCTTATCTTTCTCTGTGAGAACCATCTGTATCGCTCTGGTAGCGATCCCTTTTCCGCATACACTCTTTTCACATTCTTTCGCTCTTTCCCCTACCTTTTCTGCCACCATGCGAGCTGGGCTTGGGCATGGGCTTGTGCTCTTGCTAGCATGTGTGTCCGCCGTCTGTGCACTCGACACGGTCACGCTCGACCTGAACAAGGTCACTCCGATCGACATGGACTCGGTGCTTCCGCGATACTACAAACCCGACACCGACCAAGTATGCTTCAACAACGGTTTGCGCAGTTCTTTCTGTCACTTTGACGACGGTACGCTGGTCAATCTCACCAGCACACAGCGTCACCATCTGCGCAAGACTCTTCGTCAGCACGGCATTACTCGCACCGTCGACGTCATGTCCTCGTCCGCGCACCAAATCGTCGATCCCTCAAAGGCCGCCGTGACCTCGGACGAAGCCGTGTGCTTTACATCGTTCCTAAAGAGCCGGGACTGGAGTCGCAACGCGACCAACACGGTGCTCAACGAGCTCTACGTGCGACACATCATTGGCTCGCACAGCGAACGCGCCTGGAAGATCGTTTCGCCCACGGGATGTTCTGAAGACATCCAACGCGCTGCTCGTGCGCCTCTCGAACAACCCAACGCTTTCGCCGACATGACCGTCTGGCATCCGCTCATGAAGAACCACAACAGCGACCCCTGGGCCGCCTTCAGGGCCGGCACGGACGGAATCATCAAGCGATCGCTAGCACGTGTCCATCTCCCGCACAGGCATGCGCGTCGCGCGTCCAAGGATAAGCGCCACGCTTCGCGTCCGCAAGGATACGGTGCTGGTGCACCTGCGTTTCCAGGCTTCCCTGTATTCCCTGGCTTTCCCCAGCAGGGTGTGCCTGGCATGCCTGGATTCCCGCCGCAGGGCGCTCCAGGTGCCCCAGGTGCTCCGCCTCAAGGTGCCCCAGGTGTTCCGGCTCAGGGTGCTCAGGGTGCAGGAACCGATGCCGGTGCTGGAGCTGGATCCGACGCTGGAGCTGACGTTGGTGCTGGCGCTGGAATCAGCGCGGGAGCTGGTGCGAGCGCCACCTCTGCGCAAGAGCGCAGCGCCAGCTCGTCCGCGATCACCTCCAAGCCGCACGGCTTTGCCTCGTCTGTCACCGGAGGCGGCAACGCCACCCCGGTGATCCCCAAAGACATCCACGAGCTCGAGCGTCTTCTCGCCGATGCACAACCGCGCGTGATCCACCTGGACAAGACGTACGATTATCGGGGCAGTATGGGTGTGTGCACCAACTGCAAAGGCTGCATCCCGGACTCGTACCCGAAGTGCCCGAGCAAAGGCCAGCTCGCCATCGACAACGGCCAAGGCTGGTGTGCGGGCAAACCCCCACACGCTGTGACCTATGACAAGGCCGGTCTCACTCCGCTTAGCGTTGGCTCGAACAAGTCGATTGTGGGGTTGTCCGCCAATGCGGGGATTCGAGGTAGGGGATTGCTGATCGCGCATTCGAAGAACGTCATCATCCACAATCTCCGCATCGACCAGATCAACGCCCAGTTCATCTGGGGCGGCGACGCGATCGACCTGCGCGACACGGACCTGATCTGGATCGACAAGGTCACCTTCTCCCTCGTGGGGCGACAATTCATCGTGACCGACTATGTTGGTGCTGGACGGGTGACGATTTCCAACTGCCTGTTCGACGGGCAGACCAAATGGTCTGCCACGTGCGACGATTCGCACTACTGGACGGTGTTGGGGTACGGTAAGACGGACAAGGTGACCTTCTCGGGCAACATGATGCACCACTGTTCGGGCCGTTCGCCTCGCCTTGCCAACCCGCAAGACAAAGCCGGCGACTCGGTGTGGCACGTAGTCAACAATCTCTTCGACTACAACACCGGCCATTCGTTCGACATTGGCCCTGGCGTATCCGTGCTCATCGAAGGTAACGTGTTCAACGACGTTGCCCAGACGAGCTTGCATGAGAGCAACCCCGGCCGCGCATTTGCACCGAGCGATACCTCGATCGGCGCACAGTGCGATCGTGTGCTGGGGCGCAACTGCCAGCCCAACGCATACACCAACGCCAAGCCCATCCCCAGCACGACGGGGCTCGGTGAGGTGCTCAAGGACATTGCGCTCGAAACGCTGACTGCCGCCATGCCCCCCGGTGACGTGCTGGCGCTCGTGCAGAAGAACGCCGGGAGCGGAAGCGGGTCCGCCGCCAACCTGTCCAGAGGGTCCGCGGATGCTGTCCACTCAGCGTCCACCGACAACGGCGCAAAGCCAGAGGGCTATGGCGATGTCCCAACCCAGCCTGACTCCCAGCAAGCGAACGCCGGCACCCCTGCCAACGCTGCCGATGCTAACGCTGCAAAGCCCAAGTCCCAGCAAGACAAGAACAAGCAGGACAAGAAGAAGCAGGCCGCCGACAAGAAGAAGCACGACCAGCAGGCCAAGCAGCTGGCCGATCAGCAGAAGAAGCAGCAAGCCGAGCAGCAGAAGAAGCAGCAGCAAAAGCAGCAGAAGGAGCAGCAGGAGCAGCAGAAGAAAGCCGCAGAGGCTGCGCGTAAGCAAGCCCAGGGTGACGCTCCGCAAGGCTACTAGTGCGCCGTTCGCATTGACTGTATTCTCTCACTGTCTTCTTTCACTCCTTGTCATGTGCAATTCCATCCATTCCGCACCCTCTCTGCCGGCTTAGGCCAGCTTCTCGTGATCAAAGATGGCGATCCTTGGTCTGAAGCCGGTGTGCTTTGAGATGAGGCCCCTGTTCATCGTGGCCGCGGCTACGGGGAAGTACGCATTCCCGTCACCGTCGAGGACGATCGCACCTCCTACGCCCTTTGGCTTTCCATACAGCCCTACGATCTCGGCCATGGCCGCCTTGATCGCCTGTTCGACGGGGACGTTGGCGAAGCGGATGCGGTCGGCGATGGACGAGGCAAAGCAGGTGCGCAGGAAAAAGTCGCCATCGCCCGTGCCCGAGATCGCCACGCCTTGCTCCTTCCCCGCTTTCCCCGCTGGTGGCGCTCTGAGCAGCACGCGCTGTACGACTCGCACCAGCCAAGACCGTTGGTGCCGATGCAACGCTGTGCTGGTCCACGAATCAGCCAGGAAGCCGGACCCGACCGAGGGAGTGTCACCGATTCGGCCGGGGAACTTGTTCGTCTTGCCGCCCGTCGAGGTGGCGACGGACAGATGGCCGTTGGAGTCCAACGCCACGGCTCCCACCGTTCCTTGCGGCAGAAAGTCGCTGATATTAGCGTACCGATCGAACACCGCCTGATCCTCGTGCTCCTCCATCTTGTCTGCCGCATCTTCACCGTAAGCTGGCAAGTCCTCATCCTCATCTCCATCAAAAAAGCATTCGTGCTTGCTACCACCTTGCTGGATCTTGTCGAGTCCGCGCTTGTGCTCGTTCCACCTGCGTTTGGTCCAGTAGTACCTCTTGCCCACTTGCTTTGTTCCATACTTCCATCCCGCCTGCTCGGCCGCTTGCCCCGAATAGAAAGCATGCCCACCCAGCTCCTTGTTCTTCTCCATCAAGACCCTCGCGAGTGCAATGGGATTCTTGGTGCGCTCCACTCCTGTGACCGCAACGGTGTTCGAATTGAGGTGCGGCTGGGTCGTCATGAGCGAGCACTCGCAAACAGTGTTGCCCGCCAGATCAAACACGGCGCCCTTGCCCGCATTGAAGAGCGGCGAATCCTCGAGCTGCTCCACGGCGTGGCAGACTGCATCGAGCGACGATGCGTGCTCCGCTGCATACGTGGTGGTGAGCACGCTGCGGAGCCGGTTCCGATACGCCTCGAGCAGGTCAGCTGGCATATCTGGGGTTGTGGTCCCGCCAGCACCGCCATGAATGACAAGCGCCACAATGTGTGCGCGCTGCGCTTTCTCCATGTCCTTCGCTGCAGGCATACCGAGAGCAGTTGCGAGATGATCGTCCCGAGGCAAATTGCTGACCTGTACTGATGGGCGAGCAAGACCCTGGCTCGAGCGTCGAGTGCGGAGAACATGCCTCCGAAGCTGCCTCCACCGTTTCATGCTCGCTAAAAGGTCCGCTCAAGTAGCCGGACAGCCGCGAGCCACCTCGCACAATGTTACCTAGCACCGGTCTCACAAACGCTGAACTCGACGGTCGCTATTGCTTCTTTGCTTGCGACTCTGCTCTCGATCCGACTGTCAGCGATCGGTCACGACCTACAAGGAACGTCTGGAGCACCGTCTCGAGGTACCGCACGACAATGCGCAAGCGAGGAAAGCATCGGAGCGCCGACGAGGATTTTATCAGATTGGCCAACCGAATCAGATAAAGCAAACTTTCGATGCGGCTGCTGCATGTGCCAAGACAACTCGACTCGCTCCACCACCAGAACCGCCTTTCGAGCCAGCCAATCACGAAGCTGCCTCGTTCGTGAGCTCGAGCCGAAGCAGAAGCAGCTGCAGCCGAGTTCCCATTCAAGAGCCAACGAGCGTGTGGGCATCCGCAGACATTTCGGACCGTCACGGGTAATCGCCATCATTGTCAGACGTCATGTTGCCCACCTTGCCTTGCCAGCGCATCGCGAGGCGCTTTCAGACGATGCTGGATGCGTGTAGAGCTGCGAATGAGAGGGCTGTGTCCATGGCGCCGGCCTAGAGCGACGAAGAAGAATATGTTAGACCACTGCGACTGCCGTGTGGGAAAATGCGCTGCGTTAGCGCGCACCCTCGACCCAAACCCTCAGACCCACGAGCCAGCGCTAGTAGCATCCGCCGAGGTGGCTGCGAGGAGACCATGGAGGAGGAATGCCAACCCTGGACCCTAGGCGGGCAGCTGCGGTCGCTCTGAGCCGTGTGGCATGCCGAGAAAGAGCGCCATTGCGGTGGCCGGGATTGCTTCGGAGGAAGCACCTCCATTGGCGGCACGCGGCTGAGCGGTGCTTCCAAAACCTGCGCATGCAGAGTCGCGAAAGCGCTCGTCAACAAAGGTGTCGTCGGCTGCCAGCTGCGCCTCGAACGCACTTTGCTCGCAGAAGCGCCTTGCAGGACAAGGTGACGCTCTGACCGTGCTTTGCGAGAGCTGGACCCTTGGCAAATATGCGAGCGAGGCCCCAATGAGCTCGAATGACGCTCGGCACGACGCCCGGCACGACGCACCTTTGCCGCCGCCCTGGATCCATGCTTGCTGAGCCCGGCTTCGAGAGGTGGTTCGTAAAGTATATATCTGCTGACGCTGGACCATGTCAAGGTCGCATGCTGCTCACCTCCTCCGCCCCGTTCTTTTACGACCATTCCGCCTACAGTAGCAACGCAATCATGCTGCTTGGATCTACATCGAGACGGCCGTGCCTGCGCGTGCAGCGCCTCTTCCGTCCAGGCTCCAACAGCATCCGACTGCCGTCATGTCGCAGCTTCTACTCTGACCTGTACGAGAACGAGGGCCACCTCTTTGACCGCAATCGCGACGAAAATCGATCCAGCACATCCGTCACCTCGCCTTCTCCGTTTCAGAATCAGCATTCCCGCTTTAGCACCAGCCAGCGATCCGCTTACGAGGTGGAACGTCAGATGCACAGGGTGAGTTCGGCCTCGGCCCGAGTCTCCATTTCGCACTAGCCTTGTCGGAACGTGTTCAGAGCAGGAGAGCAGGAGCGTGGCGATGCACTTCGGAGCGACTCGCTGTTGGCGCCATGCTAGCGGCCGCCCGTCCGTCAGTTGGCTGACAGGTCGCGTCGGTTGCAGGCGCCGATCGGTGACGTGACTTCACGCTCCGAGACGCTTGGCTCAGGGTTCAGCCAGATTCAAACAAAAACAAAAAAAAAAAGAAAAAAACAAAAGGCAAAGACAAAGACAAAGGCGGTCGGAAGAGCCGCCGCGATTTGATCCGAGGCTACGCGTCTCGCCAGCCTGAGTCACACAGGCAAAGCTTCGGCGGCAGCTCGACAGCGCGATAACGATTCACAGAGTTGAGTTGGAGGTGTGATTTTATCGAAAGCCCGCGCGGATCTTCCGGCTGCCTTTGGCCTGCTTTGACCGGCTCGTCCCGCTCGCCTCCCTCCCACACGCTTCGTCGCCGTTCCCCATCCCATCCCAAGCCAGGCTGCTTGCGCTCTCCTTGCCAGCAGTCGGCATCTCCGTCTCTGCATTCACCAGCCTCGGCGCGTGTTCATGGCCAACGAGGTGTCGGCAGCAGTTGCTTTCGGCGGGTGTCCGAGTTGACCCGCTGCGTTGATCTTCTCACGCCACCACGACGTTGCTGACTCGCGCATTTGGCTTCTTCCACCATGTCCAAACGCATGCAGAACCTCATCATGGAGATCCTCCAGGCGCAACCGTCGCTTCGAGACTCCAAGACCTACCTCAACAGCTTTGCCCCGCGAAAGGCTCCTCCACGAAAACCACCAGCGCCTCTCCAGCCCGGCTTATCCGAACACACCAGCACCAGCACTACACCATCACATTCGCAACCATCCGATCATCACCCGGAGTTCCCCCTTCCACCCAATGTCGTGCATCCCGGCAGCCTCCACAACCCCTCGACCACCACCTGGGATCCGAAGCACAGCATCTCGCTCGAGACCGACCCGCATGGCAACCCATCGGCTTCCTCCGATAACAGACTGCCCAAGTCTATCCGTGATCTCTTGCAGCGAGGCAAACTACAAGTCAACGTCGATCACGCCGATGCCCCGAGCACCTCCGCTGCGCCCCAACACGTCACCACGCAGGAAAGCTCGACCGTCGCCATCCCGCAGGTTACGCCCGTCTCGGATTCACTCGCAGACTCGCATACCGCCCTCGTCAAGGTTCAGGGCCCCTTCACCGATCGTCAGCTCGACTCGATCGCAGAGGGCCTCATCTACCTCAAGCGTCTCGGCCTCGTCAGCGTCGTCGTCGTCGACCAGGACGACTGGCCCGAGATCTCGGCCAACATCGACCGCAACGGCCAGCTCGTAGCCGGCTCGGACGAAGTCGAGGAGCAGCGCATGGGCGATTGGCTCGCTGCCCATCCCGCACCCGCTTCCGCCAATACCAAGGGCAAGCAAAAGGCCAGGGAACCGTGCCGCTCCAGCATGCTCGGCCGAAAGCAGGAGCGTCTGCGCAAGAGGATCATGGCCGAAACGTTGCGCCTCGCCGACAGCCTCAACCGCAAAGGCGCCATGGCTCGACCCTTCCCGCAGGCCGTCGTCCGCGTCGACGCCCGTGCCGCTGCTGCCGTCGAGGCCGAGGTGCGTTCCTTCCAGCACAGCCAGCCAACCGGCGCTGCTGCTCCTGGCGACACTGTGGTCGCCGGCTCTTCCTCCACCTCGCCCACCGTGCACTACGGTAGCGCAGGGGAACAGCGTCTGCGCCCACCGCTTGTCTCCGATGACGGCCTCACCTCCATTCGATCCGCGCTTGCCTCGGATCAGATCCCCGTGCTAGCGCCGTATGCCCTCTTTGAGAACGAGATCGACGGCACGCTCGAGACGCTCTGCGTACGTGCCGACGATGTTATGGTCGCCCTGGCTAGGGNGTGCTAGCGCCGTATGCCCTCTTTGAGAACGAGATCGACGGCACGCTCGAGACGCTCTGCGTACGTGCCGACGATGTTATGGTCGCCCTGGCTAGGGACATGGTGGTCGCCGCCAACAACTCGGCCAACAGTCGCATCGATAACGCCGCCACTTGCGCTGCTTCGTCTTCTACCGGTGCCGACCCGCTGTCCGAACTCGCGGGCGGCGAGGTCGACATGATGCCCTTGCGCCTCATGGTCATCAACCGCGAGGGCGGCATCCCCTCGCACGCACGTGGCGGCGATCCTCACCTCTCCATCAACCTCGCATCCGAGTACCACCAGATCAAGCATTCTTTCGTCTGGGACGAGACGCATCCCACCGCACTGCGCAACCTGGACGCCATCTCAGACTGCCTCTCGTACATGCCGCAAACTTCGTCCGGCGTGCTCGTCACGCACCGCTCGCCGCGCTCGCTCATCGCCAACCTCATCACCAACAAGGCAGCTCACAGCCCGTCGTTGCCGCATCGGCTGCTGGCCAACAAGAAGGACGTGCGCCACACGCCCACCATCGTCCGGCCCGGTCTGCCGATCAAGGTGATCCAGGAGTTTGACAAGGTGGATCAGGACAAGATGACGGCGCTGCTCGAGGCGTCCTTCCGGCGCAAGCTCAACCGCGAAGCCTACTACGAGCGGCTTCGCAACCAGCTCGACTTTGTCATTGTCACGGGCGACTACCAGGGCGCCGCGATTGTAACCAAGGAGTACGCGCCGGACGACGACCGCGATGCGGTGGAGCCGATTGCGTATCTGGACAAGTTTGCCGTGCTTCCGTCGCTGCAGGGGTCGGGCACGGTGGATTTCCTGTGGGGCGCGCTGCGCGACGAGGTGCAGGGTGTGGGTCTGCTGGATGCGCTCAACGACAACGGCGGCCGCGGCGGCTACGGCACGGGTCGCGACCTCGTGTGGAAGTCACGCGCCAACAATCCGGTCAACCGGTGGTACTATGAGCGCTCCAACGGCTTTGTGCGCATCGACACCGACGCCAACGGCACCGGCTGGCAGCTCTTCTGGTGCGATGCCGAGGACAAGCTCGCGCGTCTGTCCGGCGAGCGCCGTCTGTCGGCCTCGGCTTCGAACCTCGAGGAGGCCGCTGCGATCGCGCACGACAATGTCAACCTGCGCCACTCGCTCGACGACGACGCGCCCGGCTATGCACGCGGCCCGTTCGGCGAGCGCACCGGCATCGAGGCGTACGAACGCAGCCGCCGACTCTCCAAGCCGCAGTTCGACTCGCGCCTCCACCGCGGCAGCCTGAGCATGGAGAGCGGATCGGGCGGCCGCACCGACCTGACGCTGCTGCCCATTGTCGCGCCCGAGGAAGGCGGAAGGCTGCTGCGCTGGGCCAAGTGCATGAAGACGATCAAGGGCGTGTGGGCCGACTAGCACTGTACTCAATCACCCTTTACTACTGCATGGTCTCTAGCATAAGCATAATCATTCGCACTGGAACTAGTCGCTGCAGCTGGGGTCATGTGCAGTGTCAGTGATTGAAGTCGAAGGTGATGGGCTGAGAAGAACCTCCACTTGCGAGAAGGAGGGATGCAGGCTCGAGCGCGTTTTTGGCAGCGAGCAAGAGAGGGACGAGAGGTGTTGGTCTCGGCCTCGTCGAAATGCGCGTTGGAATTCCGCCTGCGCCGCGGCGCAGCTTCCGAACTGGCTGAGTCTTCCAAGGCAGTGTCATAAAGCTCATCTCCTCACTTTCTTCTTGCCGCATCCCGCCGCATCCATTGCAGTCCGCGCCTTGACCTGGGGCATCCTCCTCTTCAACGATGGTGCGGCTCACGCGCCGAACGGGCGCGACACCATCGCAGTCTGGGCGTCACGAATCGCCTCCCACCGAACCTCATGGCGAGACGGACCAACTCGCCGATGAGATGAACCCCACACAGCAGCAGCTGCCACCGCCGACGTTTGCGGCCAAGAGCGAGGCGGACCACATCAAGATCATGCTCGCCACCGACAACCACGTCGGCTACATGGAGCGCGACCCCGTGCGCGGGCAGGACTCGATCCGCACATTCGAGGAGATCCTCCAGCTCGCGGTGGAGCACGATGTGGATCTCATCCTGCTCGGAGGCGATCTGTTTCACGAGAACAAGCCGAGTCGATCGACGCTCCACCAGACAATGTCCTTGCTGCGCCAGTATACGCTCGGAGACAAGCCGATTGCCGTGGAGCTGCTCAGCGACCCCAACGACGGCGCCATGCCCGGCAACCACTTTCCCGCCGTCAACTATGAAGATCCCAACCTCAACGTCAGCATTCCCGTCTTCTCCATCCATGGCAACCACGACGATCCGCAGGGTGTGGGCGAGACCGGCGCACTGTCGGCGCTCGATCTGCTCTCCGTCTCGGGTCTGATCAACTACTTTGGCCGAGTCGAGCTGCCGTCGGACGATGCTACCGCCGGCGCCTCATCAGCCAAGACGGCTCGTGGAGGCGCATTTCAGGAGAAAGGAATCCGCATCAAACCGGTGCTGCTGCAAAAGGGCGAAACGAGGCTCGCGCTGTACGGCATGGGCAACATCAAGGACGAGCGCATGCACTTTGAGCTGCGCGCCAACCGCGTGCGCATGTATCGGCCGCAGGAGGATCCAGACTCGTGGTTCAACATTCTGTGCGTGCACCAGAACCGCGTGGCGCACAATCCCAAGGCATGCGTGCCCGAAACCATGTTTGATGACTCGATCCACCTGGTGGTGTGGGGCCACGAGCACGAGCAGATGATCCAGCCGCAGCCGGTCACCGAGAAGCGCTACCACATCACCCAACCCGGCAGCAGCGTCGCCACCAGCCTCAGCCAGGGCGAGACCGTCGAAAAGTGCGTCGCCATTATCCACGTCGAGAAAACCGACTTTCTCATCGAACCCGTCCCGCTCCAGACGGTGCGTCCGTTTGTGATGGACGACATGGTGCTGTCGGAAGAACTCGAAGAGTCCGGACTGTCTTCGGAACGCAGCGACATCATCAAGCTGCTGCGCAAGCGCGTCGGTGGTCTCATCGACCGGGCCAAGCGCGAGTTCAAGGAGCGCCACCCACAGCGCGAGATGCCGCTGCCCCTGGTACGCCTGCGCGTCGAGTACACCAACCAGGAGATCAGCAACCCTCAGCGCTTCGGCCAGGAGTTTGCCGGCAAGGTGGCGAATCCCAAGGAAGTGCTGCAGTTCACCAAGCGCAAGAGCCTCCGCAGCGGACGCCGGGGTGGCGACGGCGATGCAGCCAACGGCAAGAGCGCATACGTGGATGTGGAAGAGGAGGGCCTACTGGCGGTGGAGCGGCTGGAAAAGGTGGACGTGGGCAAGCTGGTGCAAGAGTATCTGCAAGCGCAGAACCTCGACATTCTCAATCCCGAGGGTCTGGAAGGAGCGGTGCTCAACTTTGTCGAGAAGGACGACCGCGAGGCGATCGACAGCTTTGTAACCAAGATGCTGCGAAATACGGTCAAGGGGCTGGTGACGATCGATCCGGAGGAGTCGCGCATCGATGGCGAGCTCGAGCGGCTGCGTCAACACCACCAGCAACAGCGCCAGCAGATGGAAGAGATGGACGTCGAAGACGACGCTCCCAGTACGAGGAGGGGCGCACGCGGACACGAGTCGGATGATTCCATGATGGACGAGCTCGTCGAGCCGCCTGTAACACGCACACCCGCACGCGCCAGAGGCAGAGCTGCTCCGCGCCGGGCAGAACAAGAGGACCAAGACGACTTTGACGAAGAACTCGACGACGCTCGACCTGCTGGTGGTGGTCGAAGAATCGCCGGCTCCAGCAGGGTTGCCAAGGCTGCAGCGCCTGCACGAGGGTCTCGTGCGACCACCTCTCGAACGCGCACGTCTGCTCCTGCGCCAACGTTCCTCGGCCAAGAATCAGCGTATGCAGACGAGCAGGACGATTCGGACGTGGGGGTGGACGAGTCGCGCTCCACACCGGCACCACCCGCTCGAGGCCATGCGAGCGTGCTCGAGATGCTCAACCAGCGATCCACCGCCAGCTCGACAAAGAGCAAGAAGCCAGCGCCCGCTGCCAAAGTGAGCCGAGCCAAGAAGCCAGCTGCGAGGCAGATGCAGGAGAGCATTCAGATCAGCGATGACGACGACGACGACGATGACTTTGTTGAGCACCATAACGCAGCGCCGGGCGATGACGACGACGACGACTTTGTCGAGCCGGCGTCGACTTCGAGGCGGACCGCAGCGAGGCCAACACGTCGAAGCGGCCGGTGAAATTCCAGCAGTCTGATCATGCGCTTGAAGTTAGACGACTGCGAGGCAGATCGAGAAGATCGGCACGTTGGCTCGGAGATGTGCAATTTGGGCACGCGTGGCACGCTGTCGGAGTTCCGAATGCAGGGCTGTGACGGATCGGATCGGTTCCACGTCGACCGAAACGCCGTTCGTTGGCGAGATCACACAAAGCGCTTGGTGAAGGCCGACGTGATACTGGAAGGGTCCTGTGTGACACAGCACATGCTCGGCCTAGCTTTGACGGTTGACGGCTTGAAAGGATGCCGGATGGTTTCGTTGGTTGCAGGCTAAATTAGCGTGGCTCGGAGGGAGGGGCTGGCGGTGGTTGAAAGCGGCGGCGCGTTTTAGAGGCGTGGATTAATTGGACCCTGAGAGGACCGAGCTCGAGGCACGGGAAGTGTCCGATGCACATGTAGCCGACTCGCATCTGCCATAAAAGGCACACCCGCATCTGCACGTTTCTTCCTTCTCCTTTCGCATCTCTCACCACCACAGCCAGGCAAAGCAGGCAAAGATGAGCGCATACTCGCATCGCAAGCAACCACGCGTACTGTGTCTGTTCGACGTGGACGGCACACTCTCGCTCGCACGCCAGACCATCACGCCCGAATTCAAGGCTCTCCTCGCCCAACTCCGCCAGCACTGCGTCATCGGCGTTGTGGGTGGTAGCGACCTCAAAAAGGTGCGCGAACAGCTCCAGATCAGCGCAGCCGACTTTGTCACCGAGTTCGACTACGTCTTTGCCGAAAACGGTCTCACCGGCTTCCGCGATGGCCAGCTGCTCGCCTCGCAGAGCTTCATCGGCTGGCTCGGCGAGGAAAGGTACCAGAAGCTCGCCAAGTTCTGCCTCAAGTACATCGCCAACCTCGACCTGCCCATCATGCGCGGCACCTTCATCGAGTTCAGGAACGGCATGATCAATGTCTCGCCCATCGGCAGGAACGCCAGCATCGAGGAGCGAATCGAGTTTGAAAAGTACGACAAGATCCACAACATCCGCAACACCTTTGTCGATGCGCTCAAGAAGGAGTTTGGCGACTATGGGCTCACGTTTTCGATTGGCGGTCAGATCTCGTTTGACGTCTTTCCGCACGGATGGGACAAGACGTATGCGCTGCGCAACGTGGCGATCGACGACGGCAAGGCTGACGGAAGCACCACGGCAAAGCAGCTCGGCTGGGACGAGATCCACTTTTTCGGCGACAAGACCTACAAGGGCGGCAACGACAACGAGATCTTTGAGGACCCCAGGACGATCGGTCATACCGTCACGGATCCGCAGGACACGATGAAGCAGCTCAGACAGCTGTTTGGGTTGAAGTGACTCGGGTGTGCGTTGTAGCCGTCCCTTGGTCAGACTTGGGAAGTGGCAGTGGCGGTGGCAAGAGCCTCTCCAGTCGCTGTCGCTAACAGCAATGACAATCAACATGGGCTTTCGTATCGGGCGATTTGCAGAAGCTGCTCGAATGCGTGTAAGGAGCAACGAGCGATGGGCTATCCAGCGGAACGGCGATCTTCTCGGTGTGTGTGTGTGTG